CCACGTAATAACCTCGTGACCCCCAATTTGAGAACCCCTGTTCTAGGCTATAGTCTCAGTCTCTCTCTCTCAGTCTCTCCAGTTGGAGCTGTTCCATGTTATACGATCAATTAAATATTCATTGGGCCACAAAAAGAACGACTGACTTGATAGCCTACTGATCGGGGCACTTGCTTGGGATGTAGGAGATCAAGGTTCAAGCCCCTACTCTGCCTCATTCAGACTTGACCTGAGTCTCTCACAACCCAGTTGGGTGCCCTACCACCTAGGGCTACAGGCTATTCTTGAGTGGGTCTCTCACACATGTTTTTTTTTAAAAAAATACAACAGGGTCTCATCTTCCTTCTGCACTGGAATAAAAAAAAGTCAAAACCTCAACTTTTTTGTGAAACTGTGTTCTTGTTTTCTGGCCAGTACTATTAGTGACTGATCACTGTTTCTAGCTCTGGGTCTCAAGTACACTCCCAGCTGCAGACTCTATGTTTGACACCCTTCTTGAGCAATGGGATCCCTGGAGTCCAACTGTCTAGACCCCCTAAACCAGTGCCAGACCTCTTCTGAGCCCAGAGTTGCTTAAACATGTTTTCCCCAGAGTCCACCTGGCTCCGAGAGCATTGATTTCCTAGTTATACCCTTGAGGGACAACATATTCCTAAACTGTCACATGGGACAACAAGGCTGGCATCACTGGTAGCGTTGCCAACAGTGATAGAAAACTGAGAGACCTGGTGAGCTTCAGAGGAAATAGGAGAGGTACACGTTGGCCAAAATAAGTTTAATTGACAGAGATTTTTTCTTCTACCTTCTCTCTCTCACCTACTTAGAATGTAAGCTCTTTGAGGCAAGGATAGTGTCTGACTACACGTTTGTGCAGTTCTTAGCAGAATAAGGCCCTGACCTTAGTTGGAGGCTTCCAAGCACTACTGTAATACAAAGGTATTCAAAGAAGAGATGTCAGAGACAAAGACAGATGTCTGACTGGATTGAAAGAGACGAGTTAGAAGTAGAGAGGTAGATCTGTGAGTACCAGCTGCAATAGAACGCAAGACAGGGTGTAAAAGGGAGATGACAGAGTCCAGTGGGGTTCCATGGGAAGTGGGAGCTAAATTAGGAGAAGGGAAATTTTGGGGCTAAGAACTAAAACCGGATTCTGCTGCAAGCCTCTCCAATCCTGCAGGAGCAAATCATGTTAAAAGCAGCCCAGAGAAATATTTAACATTTCTTGGCTGGAGCATAAAAAGTTAATGGTTTCAGTTTGTAATTTATTAAATTTCCTGTTACTAATATTTCCAATGGGTAGATATTATGCACACTATTTAAAATAAATGTATTAAAACTAATTTGTGTAAGTTATTTGTATATATACTCTTCTTAAAGTGCATTTTAATCGCCTGCTTCATCTATATATTGTGAATAAAAAATTCTTACTTTTATGCTTGTTACACCACAAAATTAGAAGAAAAATTAGAAAACAGCAGTGTATTGTGGATACATGTTCATGCACTTTATCGAAAAATATATGTATGATTTGTGTTCATCATTTAAATTAGCTGGTTAATGATGCATAGATTCTATCTTCCTTTTATTCATATCCCAACACTGTGTGATTTAATTCAAGGCAGAATCAGAATTGCTCTCTCTCTCTCTCGTCCTCTGCAAGATAGCGTAGTTCGCTTCCCAAACTTGAGTCATGCAGGTTTGATAGGTGCTTCCAAGCCTTAATCTAGTACTCAGCCCATGCCTTATAAGAAGCAGGTCAGCTCCATACAATCTTCAGCTGATTTCTCTTAGAGGTGATCAGATTACAGAGCAGGTTGATACATCTTACTGTAAATAAGAAGTGAGGCATGAGGTCAAAATCTCCCTGTTGTAAGATCTTCATTCTGTGATCTTGGCACCTCAGATATGTAATCTTGAAATAGAATGCTTGCCGACAGCTCATACCTTCCACTACAGATAATTTTAGCAATTGTATGAAGTTCATGACAAGCTGTTGTTAAAGAAAGACATTTCAGATCTTGGGTGTAATGGCACTGCAGAAACAGAGTATTTCATATCCAGTCTCAGAAGGAGGAGTCAATGCAATATCTGCCGAATAGCTTACTATATACAGTCTGCTATCTAAATTCTGACAGGTTTCAGAGTAGCAGCCGTGTTAGTCTGTATTCACAAAAAGAGAAGGAGTACTTGTGGCACCTTAGAGCCTAACCAATTTATTTGAGCATAAGCTTTCGTGAGCTACAGCTCACTTCATAAGATGCATAAAAGTGGAAAATGCAGTGAGGATGTTTTTATACACACAGACCATGAAAAAATGGGTGTTTATCACTTCAAAAGGTTTTCTCTCTCCCTCTCCCCCCCCCACCCCACTCTCCTGCTGGTAATAGCTTATCTAAAGTGATCACTCTCCTTACAATGTGTATGATAATCAAGGTGGGCCATTTCCAGCACAAATCCAGGGTTTAACAAGAATGTCTGAGGAAGGGGGTGGGGGGGTAGGAAAAAACAAGGGGAAATAGGTTACCTTGCATAATGACTTAGCCACTCTAAATTCTGCATATTACTCAAAACTCTCCTGTGGCTAAAAGCTCTCATGCATTGGCACAAACTGTACACACTTTTTTCTGGGCTAAAATTACTTATTTTTAAAGCTGAAGAAGTTGTCAACATATCACCTTTACTGCTAACATCACATCCTAAGGAACACAGCAAGAAAGAAGAAAAATACTTGTAAAGCATCAAAATGTAAAAAAAAAAAAAAGGGGGGGGGGAGTATGAAAGCTTAGAGATAAGGAGTGAGATCCTCATCCCCGCTCTAGCCCCTTTAAGTAGCCTAAAAAAGCCAGAGTGACAAAAAGGGGCCCTACAAGCCCCATATCCAGCTAAGGAGGATTCCCCTAGTTTAGGAACCTGGGAAGGCCAATTACCAAGGAACTTCTTGCAAACCTTGCAGGAGAAGGGTGCTGAGAAGGAAACAGCTACAGCTTACAGCACTGTGGAGATTCTGGGCCTCCAAGGCTGTTTAAGTTACATCAGAGGCCTCTCCAAACCTCAGATCAGCCCAGGACTGCAAGAGCTCATAGATGGCTTAAAGACACCATAGCTATCCGCAAATCTACATAAGATGTGCTGCGAGTTGTGTTATGCATTTTAAAGGTGCTACACAGAATCTCTGCCAAGTTCACTATCAATGACTCTGTTTGGTGATTGCCCCTCACCTATGAGAGTTGGCACTTGAGAGAGTCCAAACTCGTCTTTTCTGGCCGTGCTGGTCTACTGAGATGCTTCAATGGAAGAAAAAGTCATACAATGCACTGCATTAAATAATTTCGTCTTCTATAAATGTGAAAGATCCTGGATATTCTTAACGTCCTTCCTTGGCAACGGCGATCAACTGTGAATTAGAATACTGTGGAAAGTAACTCATGGAGTTAGGGAAGGCTGCTATGCCTAGTAAGAGAGAAGAACTGGAGGGTTCCTATGTAGTGCTGGACAAAGGAGCTAGGCTACACTTAAAATTAAAATCCTGCTGCCACATGGCAACCATTTTAAGTAGCAAGAACCAGTTTAAATTTAATACTCAGGGTGGAGGAGAATGTGGATCAATAGATTGTAAGTGTGATATTATAAACAACCCTACTCTCAACAATGAGAAATATGTTATGGCTTCCCCCCCCCCCCCCAGATTGTTCAAGTGGAACATAAAAATCTCTCTTTTACTATTTTATTGCTTATGAACCACTGGACAATAATTTTTTGTTCAAATAAAGAACAACTATGATAAACCTGGGGATCATCTAGCACCAATGCTGTGGTGTTATTGAAGTTTAAAACGGTGAAAAGCGCCCACATATAGTTAGCAAAAGTTCACGTTTTGAACTTCAGCAGTGATACTTGAAATTTATGGAACCTCCTCAATGAGACAGCATGAACAGGAGGACAGAGATCTCTTAAAATATTAGCAATATCTTTTCATGCAGCAGGAGGATTTGCCTAAAGACCTATTATTATTATCTTTTTAGTTTTAATTACTAAATGGGGGTCAATATCACATTTGATTAGTATTTTTTCATGAAAACAATTTCTAATTCTCAGATTAACTTAGTTTAATTTTACCTCTTTTTCTTATAGTAACTAACATTTTTCAATCAGTTACAAACAGCTTTGATTTAAGAAAAGCTTTGGAATACTCTGAACAAAAGGTACAAGTAGTATAGTATGAGAAGCAGGTTATCATTTTCTACATATTGTAATTGGTATTATACTTTCCTTTTATCCAGATTGTTGTATTCTATTTTAAAATTATAATACCAATACTATAGTTAATACATCACTATGTATTTAGTTGCTTGTAACCTGCTTAAAACAACACCCCAGCAAAAGTCTAAGTTTCTTTTTTTTTTGCTACCTTTTAATCTTTCTTCACTACCTATTCCTCTACTCAACTCTTAAAATGTTTATGCAAACTCCTGCAAATTTAGCCTGTTCACAGCACATTGAATGAGTTTAGGAAGGAAGGCAAAAGAGATAATTTACTTTAATCCAGGAATCCTTTTTTCCTCATTCTGTGCGACTTTGTCAATGCTCATCTGCCCACTTCCCCACCAGAAACATATACTACAACCTCTTATTTTTATTTCTTTATTTTTTTTAAATACTAAGTGCATTAGATAAAAACTATATATAAAATGTGATCACTAAATTAAGGGTAAAATACCAACTAAAACCATGTGTCTCTGGAACAGATGCTATATTACTGTACTGGATTATACACAGAACTCTACCTGCCTACAATATTAAAAGCTCTTGTTATCCTTTCTCTATATTATAAGAAATGCATCTGCATAACCGTTAATGATTTTCTTCTAAACAGCAGCTAGAATTCACTTCATTTAAAAAATGGATGATAGTTTGGGTTCCTTATTTGAAATCTGTGGACTTAATGAGGAGGAGATTGTTCACAGCTGAGATAAAAGTATAGCATAAACCAAATGCCTTACCTTTGCGTCCTGGGTATACATGAGGGTAATATTCATAGTACAGATCAGGTTGGTCCAGGTTTCCAAATGGCTCAAATTCCGCTTCTGCATTTTGGAAAAGATTCAACTTCACCAGCAGTGCTAGTCTGACAAACCATAGCTAAAATTGCAACAGATATGAAAATCCCAGATCAGTTATCGGCTTCTATTGTAAATCAAACTTAAAAATTACTCTCAGTGTTTGAATCATTTCAGGTCTAGTAAATTAAACAGTCAAAAAACTAATCTCAGATCTGCATGAGTAAAACATATATGCTTGTCATGTAGCAGTTTTGAAAAAAAGTTAACAAAAAAGAGTAGAACCCAGGAAAATGATATTTTGATCAGTTGTGATGTATTGAACCTTTGAGTGGAAGTTTCTAGAGAGATCTGTATCATTAAGTTAGATGGAATAAAGGGGTCCAAAGAACCCCAAACAGCCCTAAAACTGTCCAACACTTAAAAATTTTAAACAAAGTTTGGGGTTTGGTATACGGAGACCTCAGCCTGTTCAGTACCATGCCGAACACACAATTAAGATGGAAAAACAGTTAAAGCATCTGAAATGTAAAATACTAAGTAAGGCTTTCATTTTAACATCTTTGTTCCCTCTGCCTTTAGCTGAAGTCTTTGGAAGGAAAAAAAACTCCCCACCCTTCTTGTCTGAGCATCTCTTAGATGGTATTAAAGATGGTAATAATGTCATTCTGGTTGTGACGTTATATGATTAAAATATGATTATGTAGATCATCGTTGCTACCACTGTTATGTAATTACAACAAATCTTGTACAAAATATGTCATGCAAGGTGTTAATGGAAAATTTATGGTTTGCTCAATATGATTGTTCAATTTGCATGCACGTATCATGTTAGTATCTGAAGTTATGAATATTGACTATGTACCTGTATTTCAAATGTGTTTGCTACTGTGGTAATACCCACAAGGTAGTTTACATCCAGTCTAGCCAGGCACCTAGGGAAAGCAGGTAGCAAGTGGAGGAGAGAGACTGCTCTTTCCTGCTTTACTCCTGGTGGAATTCTGCACCTCCACTCCTACCTTCCACTTGCTACCCTCTCCCTGGCCCGATCTAGTTGGGACACCTCTTGAGATCAGGATGACGAAGGCCCTAGCTCCGAGGGGATGGAAGCCATGAGGGTGAAGCTTGTTCCAGTAGCCAAAGTCTCTTTCTTTAAGGACTTCAAAAGGGAGTGATGGGTGGAAAAGCCCACCTCCTCTTTATTTTGTCTACCAATTAGGACTAGTTTCCAACACATCAATTAGGGTCCATTGATGTCTGGTTCCATACTTAGTTCTTTACCGGGTATGATCTTAACACAGTTCTTGAGTTATATCAGTAAGCCTTTTTGTTTGGACTAATTCAGTCTGTCTCCTTTTTGCACCTTTTTTCCAACATTTGGTGTTACAGATTATTGAGACACTTTATAATCTTTACTCACTTCTCACAGTTGAGATCATAATTAGGCTAGGTCCAATTATCACAACAGGCCAATATTGCAAACCTGGTTCTAAACCTCATTACAATTTTCAAGTTATTTTACCAGAAATTTCAGGTAATTATAATTCAATAAATTTATATTTGAGGTTTGTATGTTCATTTTTCCTTTCTTCTGCAGTTTTAAAAAATTGCTCTGACTTTCATGAACTTTCATGATCTTGCTAGTTACTAGCAGAAAAGAATCAGAAGAGTGGTATGTGTTTTCAGCCAGTAATATTTTATAAATCTGAACATCTGTCATTCTTCCATGAAGTTTTACTGATTTAAGGTTCTTAAAAGGTAAGTTTAGCAACTTATTTCAACATGATCACAAAACATGTTTACAATATCTGAATCAACATTATCTAAAATAACCAGATTAACATTTGTATAGACTGTTCGTTTTAAAAAGTCGTCATAATCTAATTATAATGATCATGAAGGAAAAAAACAGCATGAACCTTTGGAGATACTCACATTAGTCAAAAGAAATTAAGTGTGCTATATTGCTATATGTAAATGTGTGTAATCAACTTACTTTTATTAAGCAGTCATTTAAAGTAAAATCTACTTTTATAAAACTGGATGGGAGAACTATTTTGTGTACCAATAGGGTACAACTTTAGACACTGATCCAGCAAAGGGATCTGACTACACTTAAGAGTCTGCCCATGCGGATTCCTTTACAGGAATGGGGCCTTAACCACCACACATGATTGTAAGGTGACCATACCTGCAAAGAATCTGTTGTATGATTAGTAGGTAGCCCATTTTTGCCATAGCCTTGACCATGGGCAGTCAGAAGTCGTCCACACAGGTCAACTGCTGCTCTCCAGTTTTTGCTGTTCTGTGAAAAAGAATGAAGTAACCAACCAACAAATGAGCTACTAAAATGCACAGCTGCTTATTTTGCTTGAAGCAACTATATCTAGCCATTAATAAAAATGACAAGGTAGGTAAAACTGGCCAGTAAAAAGAGTAAATTAGGCACATATGTAATTAGGCAAAAAATGAAGTTGAGCATGAGATATAGTTTAAGATGCCTAGATCACTAAAACAAAAGTATACACAAAGTATAAAAACATCACAGGGGTTTTCCAGTTAAAGCCATCTATCATATTTTTCTAATCCGTCCACAATACTCAACACTTTTTGCCATCTCAAAGAATGTAGAATAAAAACAAGTCCTATCATATCCACTTTACCCAAAGTACTCTAATATTATAACACATTTACGGTCCGATGCTGTTCCTATTGATTTCAATAGTGTAGGATCAATTCTTTGGTGAAGTTCATTCAATCACAGGATGTCTTGTAATAATTAACAACAATGAGGGAGGAGAAAATAGTTTGTTTTTTAAGAGAATAAATGTAAAATTTAAAATTACAGATTGCAGGGTTGTTTTTTATTTAAACATTTGAATTTACATTTAATCTTTCTCAAGGGCAAACACCATATGATACTTAAATATTTATTTTCATAAATAAAAAAAAATCAACCTCAACTCAGCTCAATATGTTGCACTGACATATCATGCTTTATAACTATGCACTTACTAGCAAATTTAAATTTCTACCTTGTTGTGTACTCTACTGAAGCCTATTAAACACCAAATACATTTCCAGAGACTTTAACCTGGACTCTGGAGCAACTATTGATATTCTATTGATAATCTCAAAAATTTTCTGTTTTGTAGAAAAACTTTAATGAAGATTACTGTATTATTATTATCATCATCATCTGTATTATTGTAATGTCTAATAGCCCACTAGAGATCACAAAATTACACTACACTTCATAACGAAAGAGTAAATCACTATTTTTTTTCCAAAATAAAAATCTCTTACATGTAATAAAAATAATAATTAACAGAACAGGAAGTTGCCATACTGACAGCGATGAAGGTTAAGGTGCAGAAAATGCAGTTGGATTGAATGCATTAGACACACCTTTCAAAGTTTTAAAAATGAAGATTCACCTGTAAACAGTATTCTCTGGGATGACCCCTGCAGTGTCACATTCTTGGGGTGCACCGATGGTGCATCTTGAACTGGAGAAAACTTCTAATAGCTGTGCCTATTGAAGCCTTCTTGTTGTTCCTGCCCCTCTCCTTGCTGTTGTGAATGTTCAAAGGACAGAGCTATAAGAGAGGGCATAGTGCAATGACCACTTAAGTGCCTTCCAGCACCTCTTTAAGTCCAAACTGAAATTAGGACTCCAAGTGGAGAAGGTGGGAAGGGAGTGAGTGTGTGCAGAACTAATCTCAAAGTAACCTTCATTTCTTCTTGAAGTGACCTTTACACATTCCCACTTGTCGGAGTTTAGTAAGCAGTACTCCTCCCTGGACAGTGGGACAAGGATGTCGAGTTAAATAGAGAATGTAATACTGCTTTACCAAATTGTGCATCTGATCTAGATGCCAGATCTAGAGAATAATGTTTTGTGAAAGTATGAACTGATTTACAAGTGGTAACTCTACAGATTTCTAATATGGGAATGTCTAAGGCAAACCATAGACATAGCCCTCACTCTAGCCAAGTATACTCCGTGCCCTTCTGGAAGAAGAACAGCAATGTGTTTAAAACACACATTAGTACAGTATGTAACCAACTTGCAATGGCATTGGGAGGAAATTTCTTGAAGTTACGTCTTTTCCCCTAAGTGACAGTCTAGGTGATTTCCTATATTCCTTAGGCTTATTAATGCTCTCTTAGCATCTAAAGTGTGTAACTTAACTTCCCAAGTGAGTGTGAGAACTACAGAAAAATACAGGCAATTTTATGGACTGGTTTAGATGGAATTCTGTTACAGTCTTGGGGAGACATATGAGATGTGGACAAAGGACCAATTTATCTTTGTGACTGATTGCAAAAAGGGGGTGGTGTTAGCCATGAGTGCCTGCAGCTTGTTCACTAGCAGATGTAGTAGCTACAGTAAAAGTTTTAACTGAAAGATGTCCCCAGTTTCATTCTCCCATAGGTTTGAAGAAAGGTTTCATGAGCTGACTAAATACTAGATTGAGGTACCATGTACATCCAGGTTCTCTGTTGGGTAGACATTTATTAACCTCTTCAAGAACTGTTTTATTATATCCTGGCCGAATTCAGTCATTTGCTTTACTAAGCTATAATAAGCGGAGATGACTAGCAATGTACTTTTCCCAATGATATGGAGAGTCCCAAGGATTTCAAATGAAGTAAGTAATTCAGCATAGAGTGAATAAGAGCTGAAATTGGGTTTATGCTTTTGTTGGTTGCCCATAAAAAGAACCTTTCCCATTTGCCATCATAACACTGGATAGTCTAGATCTGTAAAAATCCTAAGGCCAATGCTTTCAAGTGGAGAGAGTCTGGGTCCAGCTGGCAAATCCAACCTATCTGCTGGACCTGGAACTTCAGGGAGAGACAGATAGTCTTGTGATAGCTGCAGGAGATCCAAGAATCATTGTTGTCTCATCTACACTGGGGTAATCAAAACAATCCTGACTCTGTCTTCTTTAATTTAGAGAGTCCTCAGGAAAATCAGAGGAATTGTAGGGAACACCTAGAAGTGACCTACCCTGCAGTCCAGAAGAGACACATCTGAAATGGACTGGTTGCTCTGGGGCAAACCTTTGACATTTTGAACTGTGTCTTATTACAATCATGTCTATCTCCTGAAGATTTAGGCTGTTCAGTGTTATGATCACAAGTGGGAAAGGTTCTTTTTATGGGCAACCAAAAGCATAAATCCAATTTCAACTCTTATTCAATCTATACCCCCACAGGGAGAGGATATAATTTTCTACTGAATTCCTGAGCGACCACTAGCATTGACTGTGTAAGCCTCTGCTCAGCTGACTTACCTTTTACGTTGTCCCTGTCTGCAAGGTGGTGAGCTATAGAATGAATCTGCTGTAGCATGCACCACTGCCCGAGAGCTATGGCCTCTTTGCACAGTTCGCTGGAATGTGCTCTAGTCTGCTTGTTCATGTAAAATATTAATGAAGTATTGTCAGTAACTATTTGAGCCACTCTGCTCTATAGCTGAGAGAGAAAGGACTTGAAAGTCTAACACGCTGCCTTTAATTCCTCAAATGTGAAGGTCTGATTGAGATGGGGGGGAGGGGTGGGGAATATAAGAAGGGGATAACTGAAGCTATGTGGAATTTAAACTTTCTGATGAAAGAGTTCCGCTACTTAGGGCCTAAAATGGGTCAGAGACGTCTATCTTTCTTTTGGGATCAGAAAGTACCTGGACTAAAGTCTTTCCCCTCAAACTCTTCAGAAACTTCCTCTATGGCACCTGGCTCAAGTAGTAAATAGACTTCTGATCTTAGTGAGTTCTCTTGAAAAGAGTTCCTGAAGAGAGATGGGTAAGAAGGGTGGAAGGGAGGGAGTGCATAGAATTGAATGCAGTAATCCTGCTGGACAATCTGCAAGATCCGTGGTGATAGCAGTCTACGGATCTAAGAAACAGGAGATGTAGTTTTAAAATGAAGTGATAGCAACTTGTAGGTTTAAAACTAATCTGGGATTCTCATGCGTCTTGTAAAACCTGAGTAAAAGGGGCCAGAACAGAGGGAGATGGTCTTCCTTTAGCCCATGGTTTATAGTTTGCGCTTCTCTACTGTTGCTGAATAGTAGGCTCTTGTGGGTACTGCTTCATTATAAATGAACAGGAAGTAGAGGAAGGATATGATTGCCTCTGGTAACAAAAGGCTAGTACATCAGATCTTTTTCTGAGAAATCCTCAGGGACACTGCAGGTTCAACTTCTCTAGAAGTCTGTCAGTTCAAAAGCTAAACAGCACTTCGCTATCAAATGGGAGATCCTCTATCTGGGTTTTTGTTTCCAGAGGAAGTCCAAATGAATGTAGTCATGAGTGGTTATTCAAATTACTTTGGGATGCCACAACAGCGCCACATATCACATCAGAAGTGTTAAAGGATGCTCTCAAGGCATGCGTAGTCAGAGCTTTGGCCAGTTTTCTTTGGTCCTCAGGTAATGTCTGGACAAGCAATGCTATTTTCTCCCAATATTTGTATGTGGACACTACTGTCTGATAGGTTACCACTGTAATGTCCAAATGTGGCAGAGGAGAATATACTTTCCATGCAGAGTCTAGCTTCTCACCCTCTCTAGCTGAAATGGCATAGTGGAGTTGCTACCCTTCATCTCTTTTCGTGGCAGTCAACACTGCCAATGAATCTGGAGCTGGATGGTCTGGATAAACAAGAACTTCCCAAGTGACAGATGGTTAACTAGTCATGGTTCAGATGCTGGGTTTAATTAGGTATTTTTGCTGGCTGCAATAAACCATCCAGAACTCCTGAAGGGTGAACCCAAATACTGAAAACTGGGTGTACAGTTTCCTCTAAGGTTAACAAAGGGATGTTTAGGTAGAACCATCCTTTGTAGGAGTTTGTGTAACTGGAGCATACTTTCTGGAGGGGAAGATGACGACGTATCCACATTATCATCTGGCAAAGTTTGAACATCTGGCTCTGTATCCAGAAGTTCGATAGGCCTCTTTAGTTTTTCTTCAGACAGCATACTGGGGACAAGCAAAGGAGACTCTTCCCCTGGTATTAGCATGAGTCACAGATCTAAGTAGGATGGTTCTGGGATGGGGCATTTCCCCTGTACCTTTTCGGGAGAAACCTCCAACTGTAGCTGCCTTTCTTCAACTCTTTAATTCAGGGCAACACATAGGGACTGGCCAAGATGGTCATATTGCCCTCTGGTGGTACTTCTCAGCAGGGTGGATAAAAATCAATGATTTAAAAAAATAAAAATAAAAAATATATAATTTGTTTTATTTAAATTAGATTTTTTTGATAAAATGCTTTTTGAGGGAAAAACCTA